CTGAACCCAGCAGGGTGGATGAGGGCTGAGAACTGCTCCTTAAACAATCTTTTCCCCCTCTTTTCTCAGTTTGGCCTGCTGTTTCCCTCAATGAGCAGGGTTTTCTTCAAATAAGCACTGGGGTCTCCCTAAGCACACTTTGTCCAGGCAGGATACCTTCAAGAAATAATAATTTTCACTTGCATTTAACAAAAATACTCCTATATGATAAATAGTGGAGCCGCTGCTTTGCACATTGTTCAAGAAAGGAGGAAGATCACAGGAAGATGAAAAGGATTACTCCCCATTACTGAGCCATGCTAAAATACTAGCAGGAAGTTTTTTGTTTGTTTTGGTTTGGTTTTTCCTTCCTACAGTCTCATTATCACTTTTCCTGGAACTGGAATAAAAATATATAACTTATTACATGTGCCTTGAGAGCCATAGAGCCTTAATCATGGAGCATGACTCAGTCGTGCATTACAAAATCAATGTACATTTAGAGTAACACACACAGAGAGTGTCTGTAGTGTCTTTTCTACTAATTTCCAAGTATTTCCAGCTTTCAGAGGCAGCCTGGGAAACAGAAAGTGGGGAAGAGAGGTCACTGTAAAGTGGAGCTGTCAGGTGTCGGGTGATATTTACCCACAGTCACTGGCAAAAAGTATCAGGGAGGGGGAATATTAAGACCTATTTTTGTATTCAGATTGAGCTTGACAAATGACAAAGTTTTTCATGGAAATCTTCACGGAGAGGAATTTGTTTGCAGGTTGCATTATCCAGAGGAAAGGCACCAAAGGAAGGTGAAATGAGAGAGTGTCTGAGAGGACAAACTGAAGAGGGATCACACATACACTGACAGCAGAGAGGCCACAAAATGCAAGAGCAGCAAGATTTTGGGAAACATGCCACTGATTTAGGTAAAATCAATAATGTACTGCAGAAACAGTACAGATTAGCTTTACCCAAGGAATATATATTTTAGGTATAAATAAGAATTATGTCTATTTAGAAGAATTCTAGAAAATAAAACAAAACCAAAACCAGGTTCTTCCACTGAAAATGCTGAAGCCTTCAAACATTCTTCTTAAAGAGACGTTTTCTCAGGCTATCACATTTTTTGAGGTGTAAACAAAATGTAGAAATCATTTCTTACTTGCATAATAGCATGCAGTTACCAAAAAGAAACAGATGCACACTTATGACATGAAACTTTTCCAGGTATCTTAAGAGCTACCCAAGCAGCTCATGTGTTTGAAGTTACAAATTTTCCTTCTCTCACTTCCCTATAACATTTAAGTTTCAGGTGCCTTGGAGCAAAAGTGGTGTATTTTATTTTTCTGCAATGCTCTTGAAAAACTTTGTTGTTACTGGTAAAAGTACCAATGTAAGTGCTGCTTTGGAAACACTATTCTGAAAAATCACATGTGAAAACTCTGAGTCTCACCATCTTTTGGATAAGAAGGTTAAAATTAAGAAGAAAACAGGAATAATTTTCCAAGGTATATAACATGTTGACATAGCACTAAATGATCATGTGACTTTAGAAAAATACTTATTGTTACCATATGCATTGGCTGAAATCAAGCAAGGGCAAAAATCCAATGCAAACTTCCAATATCCATTGGGTTTAATCACATTTTAAAAGTCCTACTGTGTATACTTTTGAGAAGTGGTTTTGCTAGTATTAAAGCTGTTTATGTGACACAGACTCTGCATGTGTCCTGAGATCCCACAATTTATGGTAGGAAATAAATGTAGAATATTATCCAGCTGATCTAATTTGATAAAGAAAGTAATTACCTTAAACAGAGCCAGAGGGAGGAAAAGGTCAGTGGAAATACAACCACACTGACAGCAAAAGTACATGGCTGTGGGATTCCCATTCCAGATGTTAACTACCAAAAGTAATTCTACTAGTTAATAGTATCAATGTCCTAGTAATACCTACATCCAAACAACCTACAATCAAAATGTATATGATTAATACTAATTACTATAATAACCAATGCATGGATATCAATTACAGTAGGATGTAAACAAGAGTCTGAGCTTTCCAAATAGCACCAACTCTGCATGATCTGTAAGCACAAGATAGATTTTTTTCCCCTGTTAGCTAACAGTTAATGCCATTGTTAAAAAAACATGAGCAACCTCCTTGTTCCTACACAGTAAAATGGAGCAAAACCACACAAAGTGATACCATTTCCTGTACTCTGAGACACACCCCAAATATTGACTTTTCCTGAAAATTAATTAAGTGAATGGTCCCATTTCTTCACCCCAAAAGCTGTGTGCAGGACTTCAAAACTCTCATTTCATTTTCCAAACAGATTTAAAAAAAGAAGTAAGTAATTTTGGTCTTAGGTGCACATTACAAGTGATGAGAGTTATTTCTCCTCCAAGCTGGACGTTGCCCTATGGAACCTCCTGCATCTTGATTATTGCTCTCAATGTGCTGGTTTTTATTTTGGAAACCCTGTGTCTATCGATTGGTAGAAGCTGCCACCTACTGGTCAATAAAAATTACTTTGCACCAGCCAAGTAAAGAATTCCATGAGTGCTGCTAACTCCACCAATACTTTGAAACAAATTCCTCCCCACCTTAAAAAAAAAAAAAATAATAAAAAGGGGAAAAAAAAAAAGGCAAGAACAAATGGTCATAAAAGATAGTTTCTACAGCAAGGTTCATTTTAATCATCCTCTCTCATCCCCAGAGAACAAGAAGGCTGTAATTGCACAAACCTGCCAATAAAATCATCCTTTTTGCCAGCATCTTTGTCCCACACGGTAATATCAATAATTCCACCTCGTTCTTCATAGAGATGAAAGTCAAACTGCTCTCTCCACTGAGGATTCAAAGTTTTTGGCACAATCTGAAAGGAGAGCAAAAAGAAAGTCATATGCCATTGTGCAGGAATACACTTTCCTGAACTGTAAACTGGGTCTTTACAGTCTGTTCAGGAAGTTTTTTCTCTTGGCAGTACAAGGATCTTAAGCAGTCAGGATTAAAAACTAGTAACTGGAAAAGACTCTTGGACAGTTCTCTAACACTTCCCTGACACAACAACAACCTCCAAAACCCTGCAACCTTCAAATCCTCCTGAACAAAGGACTTGTTCTGGGAATGGATTCATTTTTCTGCAGAATAACTGTGGCCTCCCTCGAGTGGCAGTCAGCTGTGAAGTCTGAGCCTCAAGGAAAACACAGCACCTGCAATGACAACTAGATGATGATTTTGAGTATTTAAAAAGAAACAATTTTATCATATTCTTTTTTCCCCACAGTTGCAGTAATACTGGGAGAAAGATGATACTAGGTTTTACTTTTATGGGATAATGCTATCTATTTTTTTTTTTTCTTAAATACTGTGTTTTACTTTCCTTCCTTTGCAACTCAGATGAAAGTGGTTTTCTCAAATCAGCTGGTTTACTTCTGACAAAAGTAGTAAATTCAGTGGCTTCTGACCACACTCTGCAGAAGAGAAAGCAGATTTTTCTACACTTGTGGAAAAGCAGTAGTCACATCTGTCCTGAGCAAGAATGGAAACTGCCCAGTATCTTCCCTACAAAATAATCACTACTTTCTACATCCACCAGCTCCACTGGGGTTGAAAATACAGAAAAAATCCATTAAAATGCAGAAATGCTATGAAAATGTTTAAGTCACGAAAGCATGAAATTTGTTTCCTTCTAATTTCAGATTAATGAGGCCCTGGGCTGGATTCAGAGGCCTGCAGATATGGCACTGAAATGATGCTGGCTTCTTCCTCACTTTGCCCTTTGTCTGTAAAAACCACATGGGCTGTCAGGGCCATTGAGAGAGGAAGGTCATCTGGGCCACGAGCAGCCCCACCATTCTCCAGAAAATGTTCAAGCCAATCGAGATCAGGGAAATAAAAAGTAATAGCAAGAAAGCCAAGCAAGTTGCCACAGTCATTTTCTCCCTGATCAGCCCTCTCTGTTAAAATAGTACATACAAAAAGCTTGCTGTAAGGATCCAGTGAGGAAAGTGAGAATATAAGCATGACATTGTTTGAGGGTGAGATCAGGCCAAAGATCCAAGACGTGACCAGCACTGAGCACAGCGGTGGCATCTGCTTGTCAGAATCTCTCCACATCTCTGCTCTGCCATGAACCACCCATAACAAGACATAAAAGCCAACAAATGGCATGGAAAAATCAGGTGTGCCTCCCTGCCATGCTCAGTGTTACATTTCTCCCCATCTAGTGCTATTTTTGCTTATAAGGAAATAAAAATAATTATCTAAACAAGGCTTCAGGGGCTCTGACAGCTCACTCATGCCACAACAAACCTCCATCACTGTTGAAACAGTCACTCGAGCCACAAAACATTTCTAACACAGCCACTGTGCACTGCAGTCCACAGGTAAGATTACCTTGCTCTTGTACTTCTGGTGCCCCAACCGGAACTTCACGTAAGGATCACTTAGTCCATTTGCATCCATGGCCTTAAGTTCACGACCTTGTATCAAGGTAATGCTGACTATCCCTCTCCATAGCTGAGATTTTCTGTGCAGGTCTGAGAGACGTAAGCTCTGGGTCTGAAACTTGAGGGAAATAAGAACACAGATTCAGTCAGAACATTTATTTTTTTAAAAAATCCCCTGCATTTAAATGCAGGTTTTATGTAACTACGAATGTAAACCAAGCACCTTGAGCCATTCTGAAGTTATTTGGCAGCACATATGCAAAGTAAGTTACAGAAAACTACTTGGAGAGAAACAAACCAGTGACAAATACACAGGTAATGATGCCCTGTGCTGCTTTTCCAGAAGTAAACACAGCAAATGCTACTTAAGGAAATGTTCAGGGGGGGAAAAAAAGGGCGTTTTTTTCAGCTTCACTTCTCCCTCCCTCCCTGTTAGTTAGACAGAACTAACAGCATTACAAATAAATGCAGGAATCACATGATTGAATGAACTTGAGCAAAGACTAAAATAACATAAACAGCAGTGAGAAAATGAAACTTCCATTAAAATAATATAAGGACAATATGAGATGTATGGATGAAGGAAAAATAAGTCAGTGAACTCCCGTGCACATGACAATTGCCCCAGCCTTTAAAAGGATGTGGTATTCTCAGAAACAGCAGGGAAAACTGAATGAAAACCCAACACATTAGCTTCACAGTTTCAAAACGAGATGTTGCAGAACCTATGACTGGAACTGTGTGGAAACTGGTGGCCTGTGAACCCTCAGCTGCTGTTTGTAGGGTCAAAAGAAAACTCAGATGCACCCACACCCAAACCAGGTTGGTGCTCATCAGGGACCTCCCCTGGGGCAGGGACAGACACCTGAGCCCCTTCAGATCAGCTCCTGCTTGTTCTGAGCTCTGGGGGGCACAAGGTACCTCCCAGTGGCTCCAGAACTGGGACATCATCTTTGCACACCTGAGACAGGGAGCAAGGCTGCCAAAGGCTCTCTCCCTGTTCTTCTGAAAGTGCATTCATTCAAGGTCACCTTAGCCAAAATCAGAACTCCAGAGACCTAAACAGTATTTAAACTCACAAAGCGTTCCTTCTAGGACCCAAAAAGAGCAACTCTGCCTGTACACTCAGCTGTATATACACAAAACACATGCATTTTCTTCATTGTGCAATGTAGCTTGAGCAGCCCTCCAGTGATGGGGGGTTGCATGGTTGGCTTAATCACTTCCACACCCCCACGTTAGGGGTTTTCAGTGCAAATTTGGTCTGAGTCTTCCAGGGGATAAATACAGAGGAATGGTTACACCATGCAAGTGCTCAGGAGAGGTGTTTCACTTTATTACCCAGAGGAGATTATAGAAAGTACACTGGCGTAGCATCACTGGATTATCATCTGCACTCACCAGAGAATCACTGTACATGGGGACTGGGGCCACTGGGCTTGGAGCAAATCTGAATAACATGCTTGTAGCAGTATTTCACACTTCCTATTGTCATGTATTTGTATTTCCCAATGGTTAGTCATTCCACATAGTATGGTATATTTCACTATATTTATCCAAGATTTCTCTTCCTGAAGCGAATAATTTGACTGTGGAGAAGCTTCTCAAAGTTACTGTTTCTCTGAAGGCAAAGAAAGAGCTGTGGAATAACCTGTAACTTCACCTGTGACATGAAGGAGAATCATAGAATCCTAGAATCTGCTGGGTTGGAAGGGACCCATCAGAATTACCAAGTCCAACTCCTGTCCCTTTGTAGGGCACCCAAAGAATCACCCCATGTGCCTGAGAACATCATCCAAACACTTCTTAAGCTCAGGCAAGCTTGGTGCTGGGACCACTTCCCTGGGGAGCTTGTTCTGGTGCTCAAGTAGCAGTGGGATATGAAAAAACAGAAACTCTACAAAAATCAGGGCACAAGTGGGAAATGCAGCTGCCAGTAGAGATTTCATTTACAACATGGGAACATGACTAGCCTTGATGCATTTTTTTTTTCTCAGCACAAATACCCCTTTCTTGGGGATATACAGACCATGTTGCCAAAGAATTCTCTTGTGAAGAAGCTTAGGTTTTTTTTCTTGATCATGTTTTGTATAAATTTTAGAGGAAAAGAAAGACTGAACAGTAAGTGACCAAAACTGACTCTGCCCTGAATGATGGGAGATACAGAAAGAAGATCAGAAGAAGTATGTTTAGGAACACACTTCATACTGGAAGAGAAGCAGTGGTTAGTTGAGACTTATTTCGGTAAAGAATACACAATTTGGGTGGGTTTTTTTTTAAGAACTGAGTGAGAATCAAATTGATTTCCCAGTTACTATCATGGAAAATCAGTAAGAGTCTGCTTTTACAACTCTACTGAGGTAAAGCTTAAGCACAACTGCATTGCTCTCCACTTCACTAATCACAAATGAGACAGTGAATCATTTAGAGAGTATACTTGATATAAATTCCGTACTTTCAATGGCTCTTAAAATAATTTGCTGCATTAGAGCAGCTGCCACCCTATAAAACATGCTGATTTTTTATGGCCAGTAGGGAGCTTCATCAGCTGAGGTAATTTACATACAAGGTGGCAAGGCAGGAGGATCTGAGTGACCATGTGTGGAGCCTAAACTGACAGCTGGGTCAGCCCAGAGATCACAAGAGCCAGGTAGAAACCCTGAGGACAAGGAGGTTTTGCTGGGGAAGGACCTTTTGGGGCAGAACCAGGTCTCCCAGCCAGTGATGGCTGTGCAGAGCCCAGCAACATGTTCACCAATGGTGAATGAGCAGTCCACATCTCAACCTGCTGTCAGAAAAGCATCTAGCTGGTAAGAATCAGATGGTGGGGGCTGGCTGTGGCTGTCTCTTCCTCAAGGTAGGGAATATGGACCATGGTAGTGCTCTCTTCTCCATGGAAGGGCAAAAGGGAGACAGAGTCAGGGTACAGCAGGCTGGAGCTAAAGCTATTGAAGCTCAATGGTATGAGCCTCAACAGAGCCACTCGCTGGGTCCTGCACTTGGGTCACAGCAACCCCAGGCAGTGCTGTGGGTCTGGGGAAGGGTGGCTGGAAAGTGCCAAGCAGAGAGTGAGCTGGGGTTGTGCTTGGCAGGTGGCTGAACAGGAGCCAGGGTGTGCCCAGGTGGCCAAGAAGGCCAATGGCATCCTGGCCTGTGTTAGAAATAGTTAGAAATCACCAGGGAGGTGATTGTGCCCCTGTGCTGGGCACTGGTGACACCACACCTTGAGCACTGTGCCCAGTTTTGGGCAGCTCAACACAAGGACATTGAGGTGCTGGAGTGTGTCCAGAGAAGGTAGTGAAGGGCCTGGAGAACAAGGCTTATGAGGAGCAGCTGAGGGAACTGGGACTGTTTAGTCTGAAGAAAAGGAGGCTGAGGGGAGAGACCTCATTGTCTTCTGCAACTGCCTGGGAGGAGGTTGTAAAGAGGTAAGGGCTGGTCTCTTCTCACAAGGAACTGGTGATAGAACAAGAGGGAATGGCCTCAAGTTGCACCAGGGGAGGTTTAGATTGTCATGGGGGCTCCATCCCTGGAGGTGTCCAAGGTCAGGTTGGATGGGGCTTGGAGCAGCCTGGAATGGTAGGAGGTGTCCCTGCCCATGCAGGGGTGGGACTGGATGATCTTGAAGGTCCCTTCCAACTCCAAACATTCTGTGATTCTGTGGACATTTGGAAGAACGTTTCACTGAAAGGGTTGTCAGACATTGGAACAGGCTGCCCAAGGAGGTGGTTGAGTCACCACCCAGGATGTGTTTCAGAGTTGTCTTGATGTGGCACTTGGGGATACGACTCAGTGCTGGACTTGGGAGATGAGGGTTGATGGTTGGACTCGATGATCTTAAAGGTCTTTTCCAACCTAAGCGAGTCTATGATTCTACTGAGATGTCCTTGATGTGAAAGGCACAGGATATGTGGTCTCTCCAGCAAGAGTAACTTTATCATGTTTCTAAGAAAGACTCAACAGCATCTGAACAGACATCTGCAACACACCTTCCTTCCAGTTAAAGTCATCCTTACCCTCAGAAATTAGAGATACAGTAATAATCCCTAATGCCACATAGTGTTTCTGGCAGGAAGTAAAATAAATAAATATCAATGTTTAGATTTCAAGTAAAATTTGATGAAAAGCTAACAGATAAAAAAAAAAAAAAAAAAAAAAAAAAAAAAAAAAAAAAAAGGGGGAAATCTGTTTGATTTCACATGGTAGAGTTCTTTATGAAGTTAATTTCACAGTGTGAGACAGGCACATAATTTCTAGGCACATTTTTAGGTATTCAAGCAAACTCTGTCATCTAGTCAGTTATAAAGTCAGAAGGGAGACTGTGAGAGAGGAAGATAAAGAAATGACCACAGATCTTTCCAAGTTCCTCCTATGACACAGAATTTCTCAATACTAATTCTTCGATAACTTATTTCCCTCAGAAAGCAGGTAAAGCATTTTACATTCTGGCTTCACTCTTCTGCCACAAACAGACAAGAAACATGAAGAAGCTGCACAGCTTCTAATTTCTTTGGGAAGTGGTGGAGAGTTACATGTTTCATCATGTTCCATCTGAAACTGGCCACATTGCCACAATCTGGAAAGAAGCAAGGTCGACATCTCTACAACTAATTGTCATTAACATAGAACTATTGTTCATATTATTGTGCATTTATAAGGAAGCATGGAGACTGCCCCCTGCCATGTTCTAAACCAAAAGTAAAAGGAATAAAAAATATTTAAAAAATGAAACTTTCTTTTCCCAAAAGGAAATTAGACTCTTGATGAGACTTTTTAGACTTTTTCATGTCAAAGCTGCCTGTGTCCTGCAAAGGCATCTCTATCCAAATAATTACTTTGGTTTGGAACCTTTAAATTAAATACCAGTCATGAAAGTAATGAAAGAAAGCAGGAAAGTATGATTCTCTTCTTGACTGCTGGATAGAGTGCAGAAGGCTGAGTGAAGCAAAGCCAGGATTTTAAATGACTGCTGCAAACTCAAGAAAACAGAATTCTTCTCTCTAGATTTCTTGGATGCTTGCATGGCTTGGATGAAAAGATTTAAAATAATGATTAATACAGCTGCCATTTCTACATCTCTTTTCCACTCGATGAAAAAATCAAGGAAGTCATACTTTA